ATAAAATTTCTGCTAGTCACATGAAACATTCAGAAGACCATAAAGGCAAAAATGAGCTCTCGGTACGATAAATCAGTAGCAAACTTCAGAGCCATATGGACCTTGTCTGGTAGCCAACGGAACAGCTACTGTTTGACCTTGACGCAATAACTGACGAGAGGAGGTTCAACTGCGTCAGTACGATAGCTGCAAAACTTTTGTAGGATATAGATAGAAACCTATGGCTGCTGCATTCCAATTTTGATTCTGTACACTTGCATATGGAATTGCATATTTCGATTCATGTGATACGAAGGCGGTGCTCCGTATCATCAAAGATCGTTGGTGGTGACCTGCACAAGTAGGCCTGAGCATATTGCCATCTCCAATATTAGTCACTCGAATTTAAAGTTTGTACATAGTGGTGCAGCATGGCTTCTGCGGAACGCTCGTCTTTCAGGTCCTAGCATTAGACAGCGACTACGCACCGAACTTCCGTGATTAGCAGTGCTTCAGTCACTCCGCTAACATTCCCACAACCAAATTGCAGTCGCTTTCTATCAGGCGCTTGGTTTTAGACAGAGGTGCATTGTTATTGAAGGGAATCTGATGGCTCGGTATGTCCTTACGTCACCGTGCTGCATCTTTTTTGCATCGCCGGCCAGACCGTTGTGAATTCCTCGCCGTCTATCTGGACCTTCGCAATGAGTCTCTAACAAGCGCCTTCCGATTGCTTGGAACGATCGTGGAACATTAGGAACTCTCTAGAACAATGTTGGATGTTATTTTTAAAACTAGCTTTCTGTTGCGCTTCAAGTTAGAGTCTACCGACTTGGCAACGAACTTCTTACGCTAAATCCAGCGAACATCTCATGAGCATTATAAAAGCTCAGAAAGCAGTGACTCTTCAGAAACCTATAATGCTAACAATCGAGAATGACATTTTTCACAAGTTTTACTGCTGAACAGATTTCACTTCGCTGCTGCCTACAAACTAGGAATGAAAATCAGCTAAACTAAATCCGAAGATTTTCTGCTGTGCGTAAGATAACCGTTAAACATAGAGATAAATTATTTCACGCATGGAAGGCAAGGAAAAAATCCGTGGATTAGCCACGCGAGTTTTAATGCAAGAGCTAATCCGCTGCAACCGAAGAATAAGACTATTACAGGAGTATACCATGGACTGTTAGATAAGCGCCGCACTCAAAAACAATCACGAGTGTTACTGCAAGTGTGCTAACGAGAACAAACAGAATAAACGAAATTATTTGGGATTGCAGACGTTACAATATTTAAGAAAGTTCGAAGCACAGCAGTCCGACGTGTGGGACCTTTGGACTTCCATTGTCAAATTTAAGAATTTATAACAGTGAAATGCACATGTAACGAGGACATTAGATGTTACCTGCAAAACGAACTCTCCTAACAAAGATATGAGAAAGACAGTACAGACATGTTTCAATACAGTGATATGAAACAAACAAGAAGCACTTTAGTGCTGAACTAGAAGTTCACTTGAAGCATAATTCCATGTACAGTTTACAAAAAAGCGAGTAAAGTTTAGCATCCTCAAATTCATACAAGGACCAATCAACGTTCAACTAAGCTCGAAACCAGAATCGAAGTCAATGGCATAAAGTAATTTCTCCCGCAATGTCTGCTCATCGTTGAAATAAGGTAACTTCAGCAGATTCATGCAAGTTGCAGATGTTGGAAGCCTGTTATTCACATTAGGCAATAACTGAATGCAAAACGAAGGATACAGGTCCTGAAATGAAGACAGTCATTAAACATGACGCGTATATTTTAAATTTTTAGCAAAAACAGCATACACATGCATCACTAGGGTCAACAAATCAAGAGACGTGTGAGGTGACAAGCAGAGATTTCCAAGTATCTCAATTCATAAAAAAAAGCTGCAACAATCGTTTATTAAGTTAAAGGGAAACGTATTGCAAAAATACTCTTTGATGATAACGATATATGTTATTTAGAAAGATGTCCTTAGTTTCAACGGTTTAATCGTTTAGAACAGTTGTATTCATAAATACTGGTAAACAAAAACTAGTTTTCATTCACTGATTTGCCAATAAATATCAAAGGCAATTGGGAGACCGAGCATAGCAACCCAAACGAGAAAGAAGCAAAGGTGGGCAAGTGAACGAACCGCCGAAAGTTTGCGGAATGCGATGTAACGGAACCGTGAAAAGATATCGACTATTGACAGCCTAGACGTGTTAACAACCAGAACAAATAGGCAGAAACGATTATGTTAAGAAAGAAAAGCAGCGAAAGAGTCGAATGACTGAAGGCATATTATGACTACTAATACAGAAAGTGTGAATTTAAACTCCAAATTCAAACTTAAAATTCGAAAAGTGATTTATTTGACCATTTTCCACCTG